GGATTTTTACCGACTTCCCCGTTCATAGGCTTTGCCTAATTTCATATTACTATTTCACGTTAAAAGTACATCGAGCTCGCTTTGAGGCTTTGCCTTTTTCATATTAGCGAGCTCGACGAGCTGGCCCAAAGGGCCTGCTCGCAAAGCGAGCTTTACGGTAACGCGAGTACCTGCTAAGTGATGGTTTTGAAAACTTTCGTCCGAAGTACCGAATTGGACACATCGCAACTTTTCGAATTACAAGATAACGATAAAAGCCGATGTACTCTGATTGAAAACGGAAGCGTTGACTGGTGTCCTGCATACTTATATGGGAACCATAATAGAAAGGGGAACCAGAATAAACGGAAGCAGTGTATAAAATACCGAATGACAATTTTAAAACGGAAAATGTAAAATAAAAATGAACGATTATTTTAAAGGGAAAGACAAGGTTAGAATAAAAACATGATTTCAGAAAAAGAATACTATAAATAATAAGTCTGCAAATTTTCTGCCGCTAAATAATAATATTAAACGAATGATAACAAAATTTAAATCGCTAAATCACCGATTTCTACAAATCGGTAAGCGCGGCCATGTTTGTGTATTGGCCGTATAAAACAGGTGCGCGTGATGTCATTTCCCCACATCTTTAGATTCATGATAAATCTAGTTGAATCGTAAGGAAATATTAATATAATAAAGTATTGATCAGACAATTTAATTTTCACAGGAGGTGTAGAGGAGATTTTTTATGATTCAAAATACGTAACAATATCAAAAAAAATAATAATAATAAAAGATAAAGAAACGTACGGCTAGCCAAAAGTTCCAGCCGTACGTTAGTCACGAACGACTAGCCAGGACGCACTGTATTGTCTAGCCGTACGGCAATTTTCAAAATTATATGGAAGTCGAACGTTATAAAATTGTTGATTTTCATGCTTATCATTTGTTGTTTTATTTGTATGAATTATTAAATCATTTTTGTTAATTTTAAGCTCATGGATCGAATAAAAAATGATCGGAGTAGAATAAATAAATAAAAAGAACATTGAATGAAAAAAAACAAAAAACGGTAAAATGCAAAAATAATTATATAATTTTCAAAACAGTAGATAAATATCGAACATAAAAGCACAGTCAATCAATTAATTAGCCTTAATTAAAACCTATCCAGGGACTGACAATAGAATTTTAGAATGCCTTTCACGGAACATGCAAACTTTCCTTGATACAGTACCGTCGGTAATTGTCGCAATTATCAAGAGTCTAACAACAATCATTTTCAGTGTTTGTTGTTTTTTTTTTCATATAAAAGGTGTCGAAAATTAAACTTAATGAAACAAAAAAAGATTATTATCAAAAATTTGTACACTATTTCAATTGGTGTAAATGCAAGCAAAGGCTATTTTTTCACGAAATCTTGCGATGACAAAGATCGATATATATAGCGATCAAGGCGATTAATCTCTAAAAAGTTAACATCCAAAGACAATTAATGCTGTTTCTTGGTTAAAATCCTGGCTTAAAGTCATAAAATAACATATGCATTTTCGACTTCCATAAAATTTTGAAAAGTGCCGTACGGCTAGCCAATACAGCGTGTCCTTGCTAGTTGTACGTGTCTCACGTACGGCTAAAACTTTTGGCTAGCCGTACGGGCCCGTACGCTAGCCACTTCCATTATAAAAACCCAACTAAAACGTGTTCTTAATAGTACATATAATTAATTTTTTGCAGTTTGATTCTGACTTTCAAATTTAAAGGTGTGAACATATGTTATAATTGATGTACACATTTCAAAAATATAAGCAACTGTTTTGAAAAGTAAATTGTTAACATGTCTGTTAACGTATGATGCTGCGCATCTTAATCGTAGCCTAATATTAACTGCAGGCAAATCTTTTTTATTGGCTGCTCAAAAATCTAATTTGCATAATTTATTCACACAATTGCTGGTTCTTACTACTTATGTCTAATACTGCGCATTGTCCATTTTAATTGTTCCTAATTTGCACCAAATGCTGCTGTCACACTGTGTACTGACGATTTTTATTGCTCCTTGTATGCTTCTGTGCCGACAGACCTTTTGATCATGCACAATGTTGCCCTGATTGGTTAATCACCCTTGTCAAATATTCTAATGACGAAATAGACATCTATTTTTTTACGCTTCATCAGTGAACTGAATGACCTTAGGGGGAATTCGGTTCCACACCTGTCAAATTATACTGTAGTAAATTACAGCACGTCATAAAATAGCAACACATTTTTTTTTCAGTTACCAATAATCATTTTAAATATTAAGTAGATTTATGATTTTTTGTTTTATTGGATTAAATTTACGGTAGTAGAAATGCGTATCTGTCGGGGAAAGGAATTTGGTAAGTAGATAACGAGGAAAAAAACTTTAGGGAACTGGATAAACCCGAGAATATGCGTAATTATAGGGGAATGGGCAACCTGTTGCTGTTGGTACCAGTTTTGACTGGGTGCCTAAATAACTTTACGGACAGTTTTGTTTTCATACGATATAAGTCTGGCTGCCGATTTTCCTGCGCCTTTCTCATTTTTGGCGTCAATGGCGGAAAATCGCGTAAAAGTAAATTTATGGTTTATCTTTGAAAATTAAGCAGTCATTGCTTAAATCATGTGGTAGGATCATCAGCAAGCTTTAATATCGAACAAATGATAATTAATGTCGCGGCGTCTTCAATTAATCAATTAAAGCAATTCAGTTCCATATGATGTTTTCATAAATAATATATATAATGTATGCAATAAAATTAATAAGTTCTTCATCAAGATATATTTCAGTTGTACCAGCGTGTACACCTATACCGGAAGTGGGTATAACACGTCACAATCTCGGTCTCGTCTGTCTCGCGAGAATGACAGAACGCCAAAATGGCGGCGCCCATGAACTTATATCTCAAGTAAAAAATAGTGTCTTTAAACACGAATTTCTCTCTTATAGGGTTGATGTCAATAGGAAAACTGTCATGGTTCCTCTTTTTAAATGATGAATATTTATATTAGATAGACATCAATCCATCCATTCTTATTCCTTTAAACTATTTTACGGTATAAGAAAATCGAGCTCGCTTTGAAGCTTTGCCTTTTTCATATTATGAACTCCATAACTCCAACATTTTTTCACCAATTTTCAATATTTTGGTACCAAATGGTAGGGAATTGATTACTCTTAAAGGAATTTAAGCTGTCATTACAATCATTTCAAGTTTTAGGAAAAACGTAATCTCGAAGTCGCCGCAAGTGTAACTCGACAGAGACCTGACCGATGACAACGTATTTTATGGGTAACTTTATTGCCTCCCCTTTCTATAAGCTCGCCATTTATATTGGAAAAATATAATGTATTTGTAAATTTATCATGGTATAAAGAGTAGGTATTTTAATCATTTTAACTTTCAAATCTGATAATTTTAGGGTATCTTTCAAAGTGTTTGTATTTGAAATTGTTTATTTATTGTTCACAGTAATTCATAAGAGGATTAAATATATAACTTTAAGTAACAGACGCTTATAAATAAGATTTTGTTAGAATCAGTATCAAGAAACGCTTATAAGATTTTGTTAGAATCAGTATCTAAGTATCAAGAAACGTTTTATTTTTATTAGCCCATCAAAATCATTGTTTTTATTCACTGCGGAGATGGTTCAGTCACAAGTATAAATAGAGCGAGCGCAGCGCAATTTAAGAGTCAGTTTTGGTTTCGTCCGTGAAGCAGATCAGAGCAGTATTATATTTACTAGTACCCAGGCATCTTAGTTCTGGTGCTAAAAATATCTTGCTGCTTCTGTGAAACCTCATGGACAAACGTTCGATTGAAAAAAGTTTGAGAAATGAGTATTTTAAGTTGGTTTGAATATGTATGTGTATAGAACATGTAGAAGGGAACGACGTAGTAAATACATACTAGTGTACAGAAATCGCAGATATCTGGTACTAAAGACGTTTTACTATATCTGTCAAATCTCTGAGTACTTGTTTAGTTTAAGTATTTTAGGGAAATAGATATTTGAAATATGTTTGGTTATGTCCTTGTAAGAGTCGGATTGTAATGATAGTAGCATTTTCATGTACACAGAATCTCAGATATCTGGTACTGAAATGTTCTATTGTTTCAGTAAGACCTCTCGGGCAAACGGTTGATTAGAAATATTTTGGTTCAAGTTAAAGCTTATAGATACTAGTACACAGAAATCTCAGATATCTGGTACTAATGATGCTATATTTATAAGACAAATGAACAATGAGAAACTATTTTTATGATTATTTGAAGTACTGATATTTTTGGATAAGAGATTGTTGAAATGTAAAACCAATCTCGCTCTCAATGAGGATTACCATTTTTTGCTAATAGGCGCGCAAGATGTTTAACGTTTAAATGGATTGTAAAAAAGATCAAACGCTAAATGTACACGTTCTCTCCTTTAAAGCGGTAAAAGATTCTTTCCTCCTATTTGTATCTAACTACTCTATTACTTAAATCATAACCTTGAAAAAGAGTTCAACAATACTTATTAATTTGTGCAGAACAAAACCTAAACACGACAATTATTAAAAAAGGATCGAGCTGCTACCAGCATCTTTATAAAAGCTAACCATTTTTGTAGCGTTACGTTAATGTTGTTGTATTTTTGAAACTGCTATGTTTATTCGACTCACTGCGCTATAAATCTGAATAATAGTATACCCACTAATTAGAGTCAGTGTAAGTCAATGTACATGAACATATCGTAACGTATCGTAACATATCGTAACGTATCATAACCTATCGTAAAGTATCGTAACATATCGTAACGTATCCTAACATATCGTAACGTTTCGTTAACGTATCGTAACATATCGTAACGTTTCGTATCCATTACAATAAACCAATAATGTAAGCGAAGAAAAAAAATATTGAAAAATATTTTTCCTTAACATGTTCGGTATACATGTATTTAATAATGTTCATGTCCAGGGATGTGATATCTGTCGATTGTTTTACTGATGGTTGATACATTGATCTCTAAATAGGTCCTGTAGAATCATTTGATTACAAGGATGAAATAGCACAAGGATCATGTACATCAATTATCCCGGACACACAACCTGACCATGTATATGCTGTTAGACGGACTTGTCCGTCGGCTGAAACTTGCGAGGCAGTATGCAAAAATGTGGGGTACGGTACATCTTCTTTCAGAAGATATTTGAGCCGAGTCATGACAAAACCAACGTAATGCGTTTGAGACCAGCATGGATCCAGACCAGCCTGCGCATCCGCACAGTCTGATCAGGATCCATGCTGTTCGCTATCAGTTTCTTTACTTGTTATAGGGTCTGTAAGCGAACAGCATGGATCCTGATCAGACTGCGCGGATGCGCAGGCTGGTCTGGATCCATGCTGGTCGCAAACGCATTACGTTGGTTTTGTCATGACACGGCTCATTTCTTAAGAAACAAATTCCCTTTATACAAGACCATCGTATATAATGTCTAATTAAAAATGCATAGACGTCAGTCATAACAGTTTTATTATTAGATATTTAGACTTAGTATAAATTTTGATATTAATGGCAAAATAAATAAACCATTGTCCTATCAGTTATAATTTTTATCCATCACAACGTCGTGAACTTTTGGTACATTTCGTCAATTTCCGTATGAAGAAACCATAACAACTTCTGTCTAACTTTTGTCACCAATATAGAACCAGTCGTGTCTGTACATCTGTCTGACCGGGCTCTTTAATGCTGGCAGCTCAATTCTTTTGTATTTTGATACTTAGACCCCTTAAACCTTTAATGAAATTCATTGTTGGGCTAATCCATTACTTAAGGTAGAACGCGACACTTTGCGAACTTTCTAGTAGCGTCTTGAAAATTGGCATAAAGAAAGTTGACCATATTTCTGATTAGATTCCGTTGATTTTATTTCGATAGTTTCAGCCAATTTTTGTACACATGACGTCAAAGTTGACCATCGAAGCCCGTTTTTGAACATGACGTCGTGGCGTATCCTTGGCAACTGTTACGGGTATTACAACGCCATTGGCGGACAAAATATCTTAAATACTACATCATTCGATGGAAATTAATTTTTCCTTTGAGCTGATATAAAATTTATTGTTTTACGCCAAATAATGATTGAAAAATGGAAAGAAAACTGTCAATTTTGTGTAAAACTTGACGTTCAGTTTAGCCGCATTTTTCGGCTTTAAAGCGGCTTATTTAAAAATTCCTGAAATAAATTTTTGATTTTTTTCTTTTAACGTCATTTAAAATGTATGCTTTGTCAAAATGACTAAAAAAATAGGGGGTTACCGGCTCAAATTTTTCGGTACACGTGATTTTATTTCCCCCACCCCTTGAGTAATTTTGTTACGAAATTCGACGTATGCAGATACGTTTGAGACTTCAAAGTGCGGCAATAATGTTCAGCTTATCAGGAGAATTGTTCTAGAGTTTTACTTATACATATGAAACAACAACAACAATGTTCTATTGCAAATGCTTAAAATTTAAAATGAGACCTTACGATGAGAAATCATATTTATATTTAAAATCTTAGCCTGATATTTTGCTTATTCATAACATATAGTGCTGCAAATTCATAGGGTAAAATGACACCGAAGTGGTCTATGTCAGCCAACAGCAAGTTTTATATACCAAATTGTTCGTCTTGGTCTGTAGTTTCCGGAATGAATATTCATTTGGTTCAAGTCTGATGCGTAGCTTAAAAATCCAAGATGGCGTCAAAGATGGCCGCCAAATCCCTAAATATTCTAGAATATTAATATTTGCTCATATTTGTTTCCGCTTTTGTATTTTAAGTGAAATTTTTGCACGAAAGATATCATTTAAAGCGTTTTATACGAAGAGATTTAATTTTATTGGAGAAAACAGATTGCTTTTGCATTTTTTATACGTAATTAAGCAAAATAATGCTAATCATATGGGTTTTTGCTATGATACTTTTGTCTTAGCTTTAACAGAGAAATATTTATTACTTATTTTGTTATTCCACCATTGTAATGTACTTATGAGAGTAATGCTTTAATGCATTCATATCATATCTTAAAAAATCTTTCTTTGTAATTATGCAGTAAGACATATAAAATGAGAGGCGGTACATTAAAATAGTTTTCCAATGTAAGGTTGTAACTGGTACTTATTTTTTCTATCAATTATTTCCCGAAATTTTGTGTTTCTGTCAAATTATAGATTCTTTAGTGCAGTCCATGTAACTAATTAACATAATACACCAGGAATATGATAATTTGCTTCTAGTTATCTAATGAATTATTGTTCAAATCGTACCCCACCCAGTATGAATAAAAATCTAAAGAAACTCTGACCCCTCGATTATACTGATTATATAGAATGCCAATATTTACGTAAGTTAATAAATATAAGGTGATTTTCAAAGTGTGATACTATTACAGGTATCCTGTCAGATCTAAAAATCTGTTCAAAAATGAGTTACCAATTTAATAACATGATTTTTTTTTGTAAGTTCACCTAAGGATTTGAAAAGTACAATGTATGCAAAACAACCTCTGCTAATTTATTTATATGTTACACACCTTTTTATGTCAAATGAAATGTAATTCATTTTTTAAAGTTTCTTAAATTGACAAAATAGTCATTTAAAAAGTTTGATACTTTATCTACATAGATCATTACTCTGTTGACCTTCGGTTTCATGAAACATGCATAGTAGTCGGATAAAACATAATGATTATATGAAAATCGTTCAGCTTGACATTATAACTGTGTTTGTGATATTTTAATTCCTTCTATTTGACCTTTTTCGAGTTGTGTGGTTCTAGTATTTCTTTTAAATAGTGTATAATAACCCTTTGGATAAATAGTGTATAATAACCCTTTGGATATGTTACCTGCTTTTAAAGATTATATTTTGACCTTTGCTCCCGTTTTATAAATCAATTTTATTTAGTTTCGCCCATTGTTCTCTATTTCTTGTGGACAATATGATTTCACGAACATTTTACATTGAAGATACCATGATCACTTCCGTATGAATACATCTATGGACGTGTCTTCACTTCTTTTAAAAGTGTACCATATGTAAAATTGAGAATTCTGCTCAAGCCGGTGCTAAAGGGTGTGGATGGTAGGTAACTTGCAATTACCACTACCGGTATGTTCCTATATGACGACACAGTGTAAATAAAACATATCCCCGCCAAGTAAAATTCTAACAATTGTTATGGATACATTAGACTAAATAAATAAAATACATACATACATGATCGTGTAAATATGTACAATTAAGGTACAGCCTAATTACCATAACCAAAGTACTCGATGCCTTAAAGGAAGACAGAGCAACAAGAACATCACTTACCAAGACAGAAGACGACATTTAAACAATTAAGAACGCACAAAATGTCAAAAACAAAAATGCTGCAGGCTCGGTTTGATTGAATCTGTTCATGAACGGCACTGTCATGTGCAAACTACAGTACACGCCCCCTAGCCCAGAATTAAGCAGAATTCAACATTTAATCATGGTTATGGTGAACTTTTGGATTTAGAAACAACCGCAGACGCGCTTATAATGTGGTTATCATGGAACCTTCAATGTGACACGTTAGTGTCATTCCATAACAAGCGGCGTATGGTCCCCAAGTACAAGAATTAGTGTGCCCTAAACAAGAAAACAATGAGCGGAACGAAATAAAATGGAATTTTGAAAGGGGATCAGAGCCTGCATGCCACAGATAAGCTGTCATCTCCACATAAATCAGGCCTGCTTATACCTAGACGTAAAAGAATAAAAGAATAGAGAAAAACAGAATCCCTAAACATTGTCCAACACAACAAAATTGAAAATGCTGCAGGCTCGGTTTGATTTCAAGAGCCTGTTCATGGACGGTACTGGAAAGTGCAAATTACTGTCCACGCCCCCCTGGCACCGGCTTAAGCAGAATTCAACATTTAAAATGTGTAAAAGGTTAAATTTGGAATTTAGAAACATCTGCAGACGTGTTCAAACGGCGGTTATCATGGAACCTTCAATGTGACACAGTAGTGCCATTCCATGAAAAGCGGCGTATGGTCCCCAAGTAAAATAATGCTATTGCCCTAAACGAGAAAAAAATGGGCGTAACTAAATAAAATGGAATTTTGACAGGGGATCTGAGGTTATAAAGCCCGCATATCACAGATAAGACGTCAAAAGACTAATTTAAAAAGCAGACAACAAATCATATCCTAAAGGTGATTATACAGTACTGGAACTACCCAAGTTGGAAAAGGCCAAATAGAAAAAACTGAAAGTACCACATAACATGTATACACAGCAATAATGTCGTGCTGAACGATCTTCAAGGATTAAAAATACAATTAAATTTTATATATTATCTGAATTACGACGACAGGACTTTGTAAAATATTTACGTAATTTATGATCGCCTTGTTAAAGAAGTTTGCCAGTAATAAATAAATTGCGTTCATTAGAATCATCCACACGACAGCAGGACCAGGCAACTCTAATTAACTTAGAAATATATATACCCAATATGATGTTGCATGAAGTACAACAACGTTTTTTTTAAAAAAAAAAAAAAAACAATTAGATCATAGATTTTAGTTACTATGTAATTGTTTATGATAGAAATGTTTAAATTTGAAAATATTAAGAGTTTGTTTTATTCATTTTACGTTCACTTAGATATATTTTAGATTTCACTTGATTATTCATGTTAAGGATATTATCTAGGTAGCGGTAAGTGCTATTTAATGCAACGTATAGCTTCCGGTTGTGAAATAGTAGAGAGACTTAACATAAAATACCTCTAGTAACAATATAAAAGTAAATAAAGTAAACTCCTTTGAGAGCAATTAAACGTGGCAAAGTTGATCATTCAAACTCAGTTTGATGGGGTCTGTTCATAAGAGACCATATCTCACGTCTCTTAGTACCGACTAAGTAGTATTCAATTCTGAACTATAAAAGTTTTGCTATCAATGATCCCGAAGGACCAAGTCGTCCGGTTAGCTCAATAGGTAGAGTGTTGGACTGTGAATCGGGCAACCCGTGTTTGATTCCCGGACGGGGCAGGTCACTTTCGTTGTGATTGATCATGAAATACATGTAGTTTCTACGGTTATTCGCACTGTACCACTGCTCTGCTATGTACAGAAGTTTCAGTTTCTTGCGAAAGTGAGGGCAACTAGAACTGGTAAACTGTTTGACAGCCTGTCAAGGAACGATTCGATGGCTGAACTGTGCTCTGGTAAATTCAATATGGTTACTGCCGTGATCCGGATTGAAAACTACCGACACCAACATTACCATCCCGAAAGACCTATAAATATAACACTGTTAACATGCTGTTGCAGACTCGGTTTGATTGAGCCTGTTCATGGACAATACTGAAAAGTGCATGTTACTCTATGGCCCCTAGCACATAGTATCGCTATCAAGTACCCGCCAGGGAAAAGATTAGCTATTTTCGTCCAATTGAAAGCTCTTCTTAATTCCTCCCATGAAGTTAACAAATTTAAAACCAAATGCTCAAAATCATACACAGGAGCTGTCAGTAGGACAGCGTGCTCGACTATTCTCAGTGCTTGATAGTAAAAAAAATGGGACATAATATTGTAAAAAAGCTTGATACAGTGACCTTCTCTGTACACAGGTTGAGATTATGATGGTGAACAAGTGTGCAAGGTCGATGGAATTTTGAAATTATCTGAGGTGGTAATGTAAATTCAAAGATTGGAAAAGGGGCATAATTCTGTCAACATGCTTGATAGACCTTATCCAGTGTTGAAAGTGGAGGGCATGATGGTAAACAAGTGCGCAAGTTTCAAGCCATATGTCAATGGACTTTGTTATGGTACGCAAACTTTGACGCCGACGCTCCGGCGACGAGGATAGTTGTCCTTAATCGTCGAATAGTTGAGCTAAAAAGAAACTGACCTTATGATATAAATTTTCAATTCAATACATATATTTATATTAATATAATATTTTTATTTATAATTCAGATACAGTCTAGCAGAAAAGTCTCTTTTACTGTAAACTGAATAACCTACCCATTTTAAATGTTCTAGCAAATTACATTTTATATTTTAATGTATATATTATATCCGTCATCAATAATGACAAAACTCCAAATATGGTTCAATTGTAGATTATCATATGTTATGCCAATGCCTTAAAACAAGAAGCTGCATGTCAGACAGCACGCTCGAATATTTAAAATCAACAGCCTGCATTATAAAGAAATTCTCTTATTCATAAATTTAGTATAACTCTTTGAAATAAAAACATGTAAGTAACCTACATTTAATGATGGTTGTGGAGATAAATGTTGTCTGAGAAATTCTGTAAGTTAATAAATAGATAATTATTATTATTGCCTAATAAATTCTTAGCTTATGGGTTTTGAACAGTGACCTACAAGTATAATCAAAATCACATTTGAAGACTAACAATGAATGTTTATGGCTAAGGAGAAAAAAACTTGCAAACAAATCCTTAACAAAAGGCAAGCAAATACCGAATTGCAGGTCAGTAAATAGTTCCTTATTGTGTGCATAAAACAAATAAAAGAGATATTTCAACATTTAGACACACATGCAAGGCATTTTCTATGAAAAATAAGATGTCTCATCACTTACCAATTAAATAAAATTGTTAACCTTTTTATATTACTATTATTATATAAAACAAAAAAGTATTTAATTTAAAGTTGACTTCCCGTTCGTAATACCCCACCCACTTTGTATATAAATTTAGATCAATAAAACACATTTATGGCATAGTCCGCTTATTCTAACTTATTCTAAATATGTGTAGATATAACTTTAAACCTGTATTAAACGAAATCATGAATGTTATTCAGTTTAAACAAGAATAAAACTAATAAGTTACACATATTCAGAAAAGGACACCCAGTTTGCAACATATTTTTTCTTCTTTCGTTTAAATAAGGCGATGAAAACTAGAAAAAAAATCAATAAAGTCAAAATTTATAGCATAAGTAAGCTGAAAATAAGAAATTTTATGAAAAATTTCAATTGATTTACAAAACTGAAAAAGGAAATAAGCCAACGTAAATATACTAGAAAATTCAGGGATTTGGCGGCCATCTTGGACGCCATCTTGGATATCTTAGCTTCGCATCGGGGTTGGGCCAAATGACTATCCATTCCAGAAACTACAGATCCAGACGAACATTTTGGTATATGAAACTTGCTGTTGGCTGACATAGACCAGTTACCCCTCTAAATAGGCTAGTAAAATGGGCTGATTTGCAGCACTAATACTCGCTTTTTCGTACGAGCACGTCACAATTTCTGATTGAAATATAGTCGATTTTCCGAACAGAAACAAAGACTATAACCCAGGCTTGTAAAGTTTAAATACAGTACATTTCAATAAAGCGTGTTACTAGAGCAAAAAGGAACTGTCAGCAGTGTACGAAACTTGTTACATATGTAACAACAATTGTCTATAGTTAAGTATCATGCCTTGGCCGAAGTGCAGTTTTATTGAATTTATTATCGCCTTTCCATTCTATGACGATTATGTTTGCTGAAAAAAAAATTGTACAAAAAAACCCCAACAATTTTCTTCTTGTTTTAAGCATGATAAATAACTTTATAAAGAATTGTAAACAGACGCATGTAAAGAAAATGACGTCAGGCGTTCAACGGCAACGCGTACGCTGCGTAAACAAATACAGCTGAGAGTTATCATTGCGGTGTAACTTTTTCATATTTTAATGCAATAAAAATAATGAACTTGGATCGAGAAATATGTTATGAGGAACAAAAGCAACTATATTAGCAACTATATATTTTAATGTAAATTTAGAAATTTACGGAAATTCAATAATAGATTAATACGTACGCTACAAGAAGTTCTGCAAAGCTATACATTTTGTATTACCCACACTATGAGTGATATCCTGTGAGTGATATGTATTTTATTTCATCTATTAAAACCCAGGATTTCACTTGTAAGCAAAATCTATTGCAGCAATTCGACAAAGTATATGCTTAATAACTGTGCGAATATTGAAAATTAAAATAAACGGTTCATAAATGAAATTTAGTCAATTATATTAGCGTGAAGCAACAGTCATGTTTGAAACGTTAGCTCAGTGCGTGTTGGATTACAGAGGTAGCACGTTCGATTCTACAAGTTGATAACATCTTTAATACATTTTCTTTCGTTTTAGTTATCATTTTAGAATATCATAACGTTTACAATAACGTTTAATTGAGGATTCACCATAAACGCTGTATTAAAACATTACTATATATATATATCAAATCGGCCTTTACAAATATTCATTATTCATTGTATAGCCAAATTTATGGTAGAATTTATTTTGAAAAGGAAAATTAAAAAAAAAAGTACTTTAAACGTGAAATATAATGAAACGGTTTTATTACACGTCTGCGGTTGTTTAACCGAACATACATAGCGAACCAGGCGGTCTTGAGCTAGATACTGCACAAATGAGTGTTGCGTTGTAAAGCTAATACAAATGAAGATATTTAAATATATATATATATATATTGTCATTTTTTGTGTACATGCTCCGGATATTGTCGAGGATCTGTCGATCTTTTATATGCTCTGTTCACTGAACATTTAATCAGTATGCAATTGACATGTTAATAAAACCGGGAAATATTAAATTTTACATTTACTCAAAGATTTACTATTTAATGTTATTCTGACAAATGTCAGATCAGATTATTATTTCTTTCCGTGGGTAATTCTGAAGTACATCTTTATTCTCAGTTTTTATATATAAAGTCCGTATTTACAAGTAAAAAATATATATTTTTGTTATATCTGACCTTGTGATTAAAAAAATAAATCCGTATTTAAGTAGATATGGACTTCAAACGCAGTTCCCAAATATTACGAGTGTACGGATCACGGTATATTAGTCATATACGTATTGCATGATATACAGTCCCATACATATACGTATTCAAATTTCACTTATTTTTCCCGGTCTATCTATAATATACGTAATTCCGTACCCTTTATTGTATCCATATATATTCCACAGTGGTCATAATGGCGTAAAATACCGTTTATAGCGGGATTTTGACACAACACATTTTTTCATGACAAACAAAACAGCAAACGCCCAGTCATAGCGTGACTTTTATCCAAAGGGGTGGGGGAAATAAAATCACGTGTACCGAAAAATTTGAGTCGGTGACCCCCTAATTTTTTAGTCATTTAGACTGGGTATTCATTTTAAATGACGTTAAAAGAAAAAAATCAAAAATTTATTTCAGGAATTTTTAAATAAGCCGCTTTAAAGCCGAAAAATGCGGCTAAACTGAACGCCAAATTTTACACAAATTTGACGGTTTTCTTTCCATTGTTCAATCATTATTTGGCGTAAAACAATAGATTTTATATCAGCTTAAAAGAAAAATTAATTTCCATCGAATGCTGTAGAATTTATGATATTTTGTCCGCCAATGGCGTTGTGATACCCGTAACAGGTGCCAAGGATACGCCACGACGTCATGTTCAAAAACGGGCTTTGATGGTCAACTTTGACGTAGTGTGTACAAAAATTGGCTGAAACTATTGAAATAAAATCAACGGAATCTAATCAAAAATATGGTCAACTTTCTTTATGTCAATTTTCAAGACGCTACTAGAAAGTTCGCAAAGTGTCGCGTTCTACCTTAAATCAAGCTGATTAAAGGCTGAAATTACGAATTTTGCCGAAGTCGCTCGTATTTTTACATTACTGCTTACTTAATACAAAATGTATAAGATTATAACAATACTGAACAATACTGAATTAATTATTTGCCATTGTCAGGAAAATATGTTACAATGCCTTACACGTGTACTCTGGAACAATTCTCGCGGCTGGTGATACGGGGAAAGCAGGACTCCGTTCGTATAAATATAACAGTTGTACAGGGACAGGTTGTGGGCCCAACTTTTGCTGTTGTGCAAACAACAAACGTAAGTAGAATGCATGTGAAGTTAGCAGTTTAGCTTTAGCGTTGATAACACTGCTGTTACTGCTAGTAAAATCAGGCAATTTTACTGTTTTATTGCTATCTGCAACAGTAGAATAGCACAGTACTGCTATTTCTGTAACTATATTTCTAACTTTGTTTGTATACTATATAATACATTCAATTTAAGTAAACGAAGAAGATGATACTAATGTTATACAATATATGTTGATGATTTGAGAGATACACGTATAAGAATGGTGCGTTTTTCAGAATCAGTGAACCTTCAGCTTCAATGTGACACCATTATTTGAATTGTTTACGTATAGACACATGTCAGTCATTACCCGAAGTTTGACGGAAAGAGATGAAAAATTGCTATTGGTTGTATTTAGCGCAGACTGTATACATTGTAACATTGTAGTTTTGCCGAATTTTAATATAGCAATCATGCATGTTTGGCTATAAAAGCAAAATTTTCAAACGGGCTTATTTGTAACCATATTAACGACACAAATTTATAACAGTCTTATAAAACTATAACAACAAACATAATTATATAAGCACCATAACGGCAACAATAACATGTAACTGTAACAACAACCATGTCATATGTACATGTATAAGAACAATATAACATAGGTATCTTTAACAACAGAAATTACATATATAACTGTAAAATTACCATTTGTATAGAGCCCCAACCAACCACAACATACATAACTAAAACAATAACGTATATAATAACAACTACATGCATGTACTACTATGATTAAGATTCGAGTCTAATATAAGATTTGTAGCTGTGTACAAGTTCAATAGAATATCGTTCTTAAAGCTCCGTTCTGATTGGCTATGGATAGGTCCCTGACCTAACAGATTAGTGGATACAATAAGAATTTCACCACAGCATATTTGTTAACAAAAGAGCACATGCTAATGTTTGTGGGTAAATTAATTGTTATTCAAATGAAAGGTCAGAAGAAGGGTCTATATATATCAATTAGGTTTGACATCTGCATGATCTGCAAAAAGACGTGTATATCGCCATGTTTGACATTTTGACAACAGAAAAGCGTTGATATGCATTTCTTTAATCTGAAGTAGAAAAGAAAATGCTAGTCAGCGTACAATTGTGTTTCGAAATAGATTTTCTTTTTTTATTCTGAAAATGAAATCAAAGCTAAATAGATACGATATGGTCTTATAATGATTTATATTTGGAGGTCACAGGCTGGAAATTCTTTGTTCAAATTTCATCAGTCCTGATATTCGTAACTACTTTGTTATGTAGCATAGTATGACTGTAAGCTGAAAATAACACTAAATTGATGATATTCAACTGCCTGGTGTGGCAATCTTTATCTTAACAATTTACAGACTGATATTGTGACAATGCTATGACTATGAATTTATTTGGCTAGACTTGATATTGTCAGTTTTAAACATAATCCTTCGGGGAAATATATACGTTTGATACGGAAGAAGTATGTATTAATGGTAATGTTTGATGAACTACATTAAACTGCACCTCCGCTAATACCTTCTGTTAACTATTTTGCAGACACTACTCCAAACCCGTTAGCCTACAAGGACGAGATTGCACAGTCCACGTGCACCGCCATTTTACCCGGAAAGCCGTCTCACGTGTATGCTGTAAGACGAACTTGTTCCGCCTCGACAGCCACGTGTACAGCTATCTGTGCCAACTTAACGTAAGTCAGTTTATATGAAGTGGTATCTTCTATTTAAGTAAGTCGAAAAAGACGAATTAAATAGCCAGTGCCCTAATAATAATTTGACAAAGTCACGTGTCAATTATACTTTGAATAACGTTGATTCTGCATTAACATCGAGATCATTTACGGAGCAAACTGGTTTGAAGATTGACGGACTTCTTTCTGAAAATGTACATTTGGCATGATTCATACATGGACTACATGTATAATGAAATTAAGTAAGAACTGGTTGTTGCCTACAATATGTGACATTATTACTGACATACATGTATGTCAGACTCCTCAATGGGACGCACACCCTATTGGAATGATATATACATGGATAGTTGTGCTTCTTATTCCGTAATTGATCAGTGCCAACTTCAACAGTTACATATTTATTAATTGCTGGCGCGTTCCATGTAAATTGCATTTATTTTAATAGCTTACATGTAAATATATTATACATGTTTAATATTATATATGACATATTCAAAAAATCATTTTAAGAATTGAAATACTATTTAATGTTTTGTATTTCCAGTAAAAAATGTTTCAATGCCTTGCACGTGTATACTGCTGCATCACTAAGCAACACGGACACGGGGAAGTTAGGGCTGCATACATACAGATACAACAACTGTGACCTCGGTGGATGTGGACCAAACTTTTGTTGCTGCTCAGGCTGAGAAATGATTCTTGCAAAAGACACACAATTTCTTGGAAGATTAAATGAGCCGTGTCACGACAAAACCAACATAATGGGTTTGCGACCAGCATGGATCCAGACCAGCCTTGGCATCCGCGCAGTCTGATCAGGATCCATGCTGTTCGCTTACAAACCCTATTACAAGTAGAGAAACTGATAGCGAACAGCATGGATCCTGATCAGACTGCGCGGATTATGTTGGTTTTGTCATGACACGGCTCAAATTTCTTTAATTTACGAGTCATCCAATCATCTGCTTATTTCTTTACATGTAAATGCGTAGCGTTATTTAGAGCTGATTTTAATCAAATTGCAAGTCACTTAACTATGAAACATCGTCTGTCATCAAAGAGTTTTAAAATGCTACTTAAGAACACACAGTGAAAGGATGAAATAAAATATTATCTGTTTAAAATAACCTCGACCTTCACCTTTAGCATGACACCAAAGGTCTCCTGTATAACAGGTTATATACTAATACGTTATGATTTCGAGATAGCATTTGGGATGACAACACTGCGCTTATGTAGAATACATGTTTTTTTCTAATCTTTTATTAAATATCAGCCCCACTTACATAAATTATTATTGTCATAATTTTTTGTTTAAGGGTTACCTTTATCATGTTTACTTTTGAAAGGTGTGAGTCTGTTTATAAATCAGCAGACACAAGATTCTGGTACACACCTTTTCATTTTCACTATTGTAACTTTGTAAAGGTGAATTTCATTGGATATAACATTTGTATACACTGCTACAGAAACTGCAAATTCATTATTTTCTTTTTATACTCAAACAAATAAATTGTGCAGCAATAATAGACTTTTTTTCAGTTTAATTGGCACTGTATGAGCAGTAGTTTGCTATCCCTTTTAAAATATTGCTCCATTTATATATGGTAACAATGTCCTTACTTGGAGTTATCCTATCTTTTTATACATGTAACTACATACTTGGACTTATTCCAATCTTTAATACTTGAAACTACATGTATAACAAAATTTGATATAAAAACATAAAAGGAAGACAAAAATTTATTGAAGTTTTATTAAAAATTGAAGCTCACCATACACAAATATGTGTAATTACAAAAAAGCCTAAAAAAAGAGAGAAACACTGGTTCACATGTTGAAATAATACATAGAAAAACTTAAGTAAAGTATACAGGTTTGATTCAAGCTTTACTATATGGCCATTCATATAAACAAACATGTTCATATATGATATCTTCTAGTCATTTATGATATATTCTAAACATAGACCACTTGCACCCTCAGACCACCTACCCTCTCTGATGGTCCTGATTCATGCTTTTACATTAGATGATATTCCTCTTACAACAGGGGTGGAGTTAAATCAGCCAGTTGGAAATTAACCTTTAATCTGCTGGTACAAAAACAAGAGCTGTCACAGGAGACAGCGAAGCTCGACTAATAAAATACAAGGCGCAGTAAGGAGGACAAAACTATGAAAGAAAAATCAATTATGTATTAAGTTATAGAAAAAAACAAACATTTGTTATCATAAATTCCAAGATCAAGGGAAATAATTCTAGAAATAGTCACGCTAGAGTTATGAACCTTGTCACACAACATGTGTATAATGATAAGAAATATATATTTGAAGTTTGAAGTAGATACCTTAAAAAGTAAAGAAGTTATAATATTTCTTAAAGAAAATCTTAAGTTCAAAGAGAGATAAATCTGTAAATATTGCTTTCAAGAGTTATGAACATTGTCACATAAAATGTAATTGATGGTAAGGAATAAGTATTTGAAGTTCGAGTTTGATACCTTTAAAACTAAAAAGTTATAGTAAAAAATAAACATTTTTTCTAGTATAAAAATCTAAGTTTATGGGGAGATAATTCTTGCAATATTTGGTGCTAGAGTTATGAAAACTTGTCACATAAATGTGGATGATGATAAGGTACATATATTTGAAGTTATGGGGTTGATCCCTTAAGAAATAAAGAAGTAAACAGTAAAAATAGTATTTTTTAACAAAATTCTAAGTTCAAGGGGAGGTAAATCTGAAAATATTTGGTGGTGCTAGAGTTATGAACCTTGTCACATAACATGTGGATGATGATAAGGTACATATATTTTAGTATGAGGTTGATCCCTCAAGAAATAAAGAAGTAACAGTAAAAATAGTATTTATGTGAACTTTGTCACATAAGATGTGGTTGATGGTAAGGAACATATATTTGAAGTTTAAAGTTGATACCTTAAGAAATAACAAAGTTATAGTGAAAAATATTTTACTGCACCAAAACTTTAATCTGAAATCTGTATGGAGCAGCTTGCAATCTGAACAGGCTTTATACCGTCAGTAACTTTGTACAGTAACTTTGTACTTCAATAATGAAACCCCTTAAAAATTTAACGGACTGTCACAAATTCAAAGTAGGCCAAATCCATTACATAAATACAGTAGGATAAGGGTAATGTGCAAGCTGTTGATAATGAGTCTATGGCATTATAATAAATGTAATGAATAAAGATTGTTGGAGAATATTTGCTATATCAACAGTCTAAGTGTCTTAAACTTCTATAATCACTAACACTTGTCATTGTCTAAGCGCTGTTTAAAATTTATATTTTGATTTCCTATAAATTATTTATTCTAATCAGGGTCTTTCAAATAGAATTTGAAAAACCCTATGTTAACCTTTCAATAAATTTTGTGATTCATTAAAAAAAATCTTAAAGCAGCCATTTTGTTCTTCATTTTTACCAGACATATTGTATATATATATATAAAAATTCAAAAATATTTTTTTTTTACTTTCATACAAGTAGACATTTTATAGGTAATGAAAAATTAAATCTAAATAAAAATATTTCTTAGAAAAAAAAACCCATATCAAATAGGACATAATGTCCAGTTTCTAACAAATGTACTAATTTTTTATCTTATATTGTTCAGCATGCATGGAGAGGTAAATTTAAATAAGAAACAGTGTCAGTCCACTGAAGGTAAACAATTCTTAAACAACTGACTTGAAAACAAAAAATATATAAATAATCATTCTAAAAAACAAGATAATTGGCACAATAGAAATAAACAATACAAAATAACATAAAAAACCTTGATGTGAACATCATATAGAGAGTTATTTAAATCTGAAATATAAGATCAAATTGAATGGTGAACCTTGTCATCTCATTGTAAAACACTAACTGTATAGGAAGAGCATCACACAAGTCTCTCAATATAACAATACACACATTTTGTAAAAGGTAAAAACAATGCTTAATTAGGTTTTAAAGAAAAAGTATTTGATTATTAACTGTTTTAAACTACAATGTATGCAAACACTCCATCTGCGCTTTATAGTATTGATTTTTTTTTTTAAATTGTTAATGTTAAACAATTTATTTTGATTTTTTTTTCAATTTGAAGCAATATCTTCCTTAGTTATTTCATATAATGTTCTAACCACCTGAGATCTAGTCAAATTGACATTATGCCCATCCAAAAAAAGTGAGTTTGCAAGAATTGAGAATTGAGAATTGAGTACCGCTCAAGCCGGTGCTAGGGGGCGTGAGGGATGTTGCACTTATTCATTATCCCTCATGTACAGACTCAATCAAACCGAGTCTGCAATTCTTATGTTATTTTGTTGTGATTGATGCTTCCGAGGGATCACTTTGCTTCCAGAATTTTGTACTTCAAACAGCAGGGTGTCAAAGTTTGCCGTGTGGCAGCCGTAAAAAGTTGCCCCGTACTTCACTTCAGTGTTGTTATATTTTCTGGTCCTTCGGGATCATTTGATGCCAAACACTATTAAGTGTTAGAAATTGACCTACCCGCTCAAAAGCCGGTTGCTAGGGGGCGTTGAGGGATGTTGCACTTATTCATTAATCCCTCATGTACAGACTCAATCAAACCCCGGTCTGGCAATTCTTAATGTTATTTGTTGTGGATTGATGCTTCCGAGGGATCACTTTGCTTCCAGAATTTTTTGCAGGTAAGTAAAATAAAGTTTACAATTTGCCATAAAAAGTTAAGGTTTAATCTTATACATTATTAAGATAAACAATAACCTATGTGGCACACTGAAATTTTATCAACACCGTTCCAAACTGAATTTATCATGTATTATTCCAGTGATAAAAGCAGCGAAACAGTATTAAATTTTGTATTTCAGACAGTTAATAAATCATTTTTTTTTAATTATCAATTACTAGTACTGGCCAATTACCATTCTTAAATTTCATATTTCAAACACTTATATAATTTACTTTTGAAATATATACTAATTCAGGCTTATATTTGACCAATAAATAAAAAATAAGGTTGTTAAAGTCACATTGTGAAGTGAAGACTTTAAATTAAATGTTTGAACAAATTATTATTGCTCAAAGGTCTAGACCTGTGAAAGTTATGCCCCCAAAAAACCCACTTCTTATTCTTAAAAACCCAAACCATTATGTTTTACCTAATGAGTATCTTGATTTCCACAACATTCTAAAATCACCTTGATTTCACAAACATGTAAATCACTTGATTTTCACAACAGTAAAATCAATTGAAAAAAATGCCCCTAGCATGGGGGTTAAGCGAATTTTAAAAAAACTTGAATGTTCCAGCCCCCTGCCCAAACCAGTTTGTAGTGTTGTTTTTTTCGCCAAAAAATGGCCAAAAGGGTATCCCAAATTGCCCCTTGCACGAGCTTTTATTTTGAGATTTTTAAACCAAACTGATTTAAATTGCCCTGGGAGGCCCCTATAGGGGGTTGGGAAAAAACAAGTCAAAAATCAAATATCCCCCCCCCCCCGGGGGCTGGGATGGGGGCCATGTGACTAGACTAATGTAATTAATATAAAAAATGAAAAATAGATTAAAAGTTTACATAGGCCTTTTTTTAAAATTTCCCCATTTTTCCCAATTAAATTTTTCTGGAAAAAATTCCCTTTTCTTTTTAGAAAAGCCAAAAATTTCATAATGTCAAATCTGAAGAGTAAAATTCAAAAAATTTCAAAAAAGCCCTAACAATTAAAAGGTTTAAAGGTACACTTTTAAAATTTTGTCTAAATTGGGGTTGCAAAAACAATGGTGAAATAAATCATCTTTAAAACAAATTCAGTGTAATTGGGCCATGCACGTTACTGTTTTTTGGTTTTATACAGTAAACTTATTTGTTCGCGGGACTATATTTTTACCAATTTTTTTTAAAATTTTTAAAAAATTTTAAAAACCAAAAATTCATCTTTTTTACAAAATAACTTACAAAAAATTTTGGGGGTTTTTGCTTAAACTACTCACTGTAAAAAGGGATTTTTAAAAAAAAAAAATGTACCCCTTTTTCCCTTTAAGCAAAAAATTGTTTAACCTTTTTGTTTCCAAATGAATTTTTTATTATGAAATTTATTTTTTCCAAAACCCTTTTTTTACTTCCCCTTTCTTTTTTAAGCCTTTCTGTCAAACATTTTCCAATTTTGCTGTTTTTGAAACCATTTTTTAGGATTCTACTTTTTACATAATCCCCAGTAATATTATTCATCTTCAAGCAACACTTCATTCTATATAGGAAAAGGTCAAAAATTAATCAGATTATATTGAAAATGATCTTCACATTTTAAAATGTTAAATAACAAAAATGTTTACTCTAAAAACATTGAAACCACACAAATTTAACACAAACTATAAAAATACTGGCGACCTTAACTTGACAAGAAAAATGCTGACTAACCATAATTATCAGTCAAACTTGCCAATACCAGTTTATGTTTGTTATTGTTATACATTGGATATTAACCATTCATATTTATATTGCTATGCATGACCTCTTATTCTCCAATACTTATTT